AATCATCATCCTTTCAGTTGTCTGGCTTTTGGTCATAAAAATTATTAATATTCTTTTACCCAAGGTTGCTTTGGTTTTAATATTTCCTAAGGTCCTGAAAATATTGAAATATTTAGGACAGCAAAGGAGAGACCATGAACCAATTAGTCTTTTAAAGGTTTTTATTCAGATAAAATTTAAGTCTTTGATGTTCAGTGTTAATGGGAACACTGTTTGCATGTCTATCAATAGATTAAATCTGTCCTTTTCTAATCGATTATTAGCATTTCATTTTATTACAAAGGCACTCAAAGTGCAATTAAAAAAACGTGGTTCTGACGTCACAGATGAATTGTTCATACTTATTAATTATTTTGCTATGCATCTGGATTCTTTTTCTTATTCATTGTTAACTTCTTAAGCAAAACCTTTTTATGTTTTTGAGAAGGCTACTATACAGCATTTGTAGGCCAATTTATCTCGCCTTTTTACGAATATCAGCCTGTCTAAAAAAATTATGTGGATTACATTTTTATTTTTTTTTTTACATGTACATTTCTTGAAATATGTACATGTAAAAAAAAAAATAAATAAAAGTTACCCTTTCCCGAAGAAATATAATGTACATGTACAATTATTAAGAATTGAACATGTACCGACAATAAAATCCATAGCAGTTAATAAAAAGATTTTGTCACTGTAATAATAGTACACGTACAAATCTCATATTTAAAATTTTACTAAGCATTAGTTTGATTTTTGCACTTGACATTCTATGCCCCGCAAATAATAAATCGCAAAATAATCAACTTGGACGAGAAGACGTATGAAAAGCAATCAGAACGCATAAACGTCCGAAAACGGGGGAAAAAAGCAATAGTACCCTAACAACCAGATCTTAAACTTATTAGAACCCGACACTCTTTAGCTTAATTAACCATTTTGGTCAATTGCTTACATGCATATCACAATTAATTAAGAGTGTTTCGGGATATTATTAGCACATATTATTTTGGTAACTATGTTTTAAGGTCCACCTCATCAGGGATCCATCTTATGTGCACATCAATCAATCTCTTTAAATTTCTTTTGATTTTTAATTTTCATTTAATGATCAGATCACCTACATGTATGTACTTGCATTTACTGTATGCAACCATAGGAGGGGTTGTGAATAAGTCTTTACATACTTCATCATGTATTATCTCCAATATTTAAAAAAATACTTTCCTAACCCCTTATACACGGGTAAAACTTTGTGACCATATTGTTAGAGTTTATATCATTTTTCTTGTTTGGTTTTCTGAGAAGATTCGTTTTACTTGCAAAAATAATTTCTTGCAAAGTAGATTCAATTTCTAATAGTTTATATCCTCTTTTTTCCAAAGGGGTTTTGAAATCATTAAAAATAATTTTGTAAAACAGCTTGATCACTAGTATTTCTCCACATGCCTAGTACATCATCCTTTAATAAGGTTATAAGGATATCTTTGTTTTACAAGAACAGGTGATCGAACGTCAAGTAGTATGTTAATCAAATTTTATAAATAAGAATTGTACATGTACAATAATTACAATGAAATAATCTTCTATTCACTCCTATGGATTTTATTGTCTGTACATGTACAACTCTTAAAAATGTACATGTACTCTTTCTTTTTTCGTGAAAGGGTAACTTTTTATTATGTTTTTTTTTACATGTACAGATTCAAGAAATGTACACGTAAAAAAACTATATAGGCCATGTAATTTTTATTTTTAACCGGTTGATATCGGCCATAGTACCTTTTGCTGTGGTATTATCAGATATTTAGTCAGAATAGCGTCCAATTTTATATGCGACAATACATGTAGTAGGCTGCAGAGTAAAAAGATCGTGATGACAATTTCTGTTATCAAAGACTCTAATAAAAGAATTGAATGCAATATTTAGGTCATGTGTGACAGTACTTAAGTGTAAAACATGTCACATCAATTAAGCACCTCACAGAATTAACAGTTCCTTAAGGGTTTTAACGGTACATCGTAAGTACAACCTATGAACATGTAAAGCAAAAATAGGGATACGATTAATTAACCTTGTAATATTTGTACTTTCATTTTTCTATTAATTAATCCGCTCAAAGGAAGTTTAATCAGTGCTACAAATACTTTAAAAGCAGTCTGAGACTTTGTTGGCATGGAGAAGTTAATGAAAAGATTGCTTTATAGACCAGACTGGATATAGAAATTATTGGAATACGTACTTTAAACACAAGAGGACGACATGCTGGGAAATCAAAATGGGCCGCGGGGGGATTTTATTTGCTTAGCAACATGTGTTTTCTCATATTTTAAAAATGTTACGTACTGCACTTTTTTGGCTGACTTTTTAATTTCACTGCTTTTTAGACAGAACAATTCCGTGGAAATCATATCCAAAGAAAACCAGTTAGACCTGCGAAGGACAAATTCTTAATAAGAATGTTTCAAATATGCTGTTGCGTTCGATTTAGATGAGCAGCATTTTCAGCAACTGTGATTTGATGTGATTTCTCCGTCAAAGAAAGGAATCAATACTTTCTGCAAGTTTATTGCAAAAGTTTTGAGAATTCTGGCTAGAGAGGGGAAAATTGCTTCCACCTTTTTCATCCCATGGTATCCCATTATATAAAGATCGAGAAAGCTTTTTATTATTTGTTTAAAATCATTCCAATGCTTAAAACAAGATGTGTTTGTGAAACACTGATGCCCCCGTATGGCAACTTTTAGCAAAGGTTAAACTTTCTCAAATGCAAATCAAATATGTTGGTACCCAAAGTAAGGTCTTGTCTCAGGGAATATACCTGTGAAATATGAAAGCCCTAGCAGCAACCATTGAATAGATATCGAAAAGGTTAACATTTTTCAAAAGTAAGTCAAACATCAAGGTCAAATGGTCAAAATTAATGGTGCCCAAGGAAAGGCCTTCTTACAAGAAATACACGTGAAATATTAAAGCCGTAGCACTAATCGTTCAAAAGCTATGATCAAAGTTAAAGTTTTTCAAAAGTAGGTCAAACTCCAAGGTCAAGGTCAATGGATTACAATTGTTGGTATCCAAAGGAAGGACCTGTCACAAGGAATAGACATGATAAATATGAAAGCCCTAGCACCAACTGTTCAAAAGTTACGGCCAAGGTTAAAGTTTTTCAAAAGTAGGTCAAACTCAAAGGTCAAGGTTAAAGGGTCAAAGTTGTTGGTATCCAAGGGAAGATCTTGTCTCAAGGATTACATATGTGAGGTATGAAAGCCCTAGCACCAACCGTTCAAAAGTTATGACCAAGGTTAAAATTTTTCAAAAGTTGGTCAAACTCCTAGGTCAAGCTCAAATGGTCAAAGTTGTTGGTATCCAAAGAAAGGTCTTGACACAAGGATTATACATGTGAAGTATGAAAGCCCTAGCATCAATTGTTCAAGTTATGGCCAAGGTTAAAGTTGGATAAAATTTTGCAAAAGTAGGTCAAACCCTAAGGTCAAGGTAAAAAATGATGGTACCCTAAGAAAGGTCTTGTCACAAGGAATACACATGTGAAATATGAAAGCCATAGCTTCAACCAATCAAAAGTTATGGGCAAGAATAAAGTTTTTGCGGAGAAACAGACAGACAGATGGACGGACAGGACAAAAACTATATACCCCCGAATCTTCGATACGGGGGCATAAAAATCTAAAATAAAAGCAGAAAAGTTGGCGGGACAATTCATTGCTACACACCGACCAAAAAAATCCCATTTCCTTTCATTTTAAGGTCAGACGACACGTTCCTCAAATATCTGTTATGCATCTCTTCATTATATATAGAAAAAATATTAATAATTATCATTATCTTGTGATTTTTAAACCGTTTTAAAAACGTCTTAAAAATTAAATACAGCAATAATTGTGATATTAACAATTCAAGAGATTTTCTTAAGATTACATAAGAAACACCATCATTTGGTATCTTGCACAAATGCCTGGTAAGGTACATCATTTTTTGTGAGGAAACTTGTTAAAGTAGCAATACTTCAATGACGAATTCTTAAGAAAAATTATATATTATTGATGAACGTGTCATTTGATCTTAAGTAACCAAAAACCCAAGTCAAATTGGTAAATATTGATTTTTATTCAGTGATGCAACGTTGAACTGCAAAATTAGATATTCACTTTGAATGTATAAAGATTGTGAAAAAAAAATGTAGAATGTTGTACAAACAGATAAAGGATGTGTTCGGAATTTTGAAAGAATTGACCTATATATAGGAAAGAATAATTTCCCAGAAAATGTCACATTTCGAAATCAATGCTCATCAGTTTTTTCCTACCGTATATATGTCTAAACTTTTCAAATTTGCATTTTGAACCTAAAATTTATTATTTGCAATTTTTTAATTAACCTTTTGGCCCAGAAGTCGTACAGGTATGTCCCTAAATAAAATTATGATATTTTTATAGGATGTGGTCTAAGAATACATATGTAATTTAAAATGGATTTTGTTTAGGGGCAACCCTGCCCTGGGGTCGAATATCAACAAAAAAACCAACCTACGAAAAAAAGGAAACCTGTTTTGACAACCTGCTGGTTCGTATTTATACCCTTTTATTATATAGTCAGAATATACTCTCAGGTTAGATCGTTGGCTGTTGAAGCCATGGTTACTTTTTAGAGTCGTGGTTTAAATTCAGATCCCAAGTTTTTAAACAGCATGGCCACATGTAATTAACACACTCCCTCGTATTTCAGTTATATAGTTTGTACACATCAACGACATGTTTAACTATTTCCGCGGAAATGTGTTGTAATTTACACGCACATCAAGAAGAGAATTATTATACTGACATTATCATTATAATGAAAAGTAAAGAAAAATATCACAAAAGCTTTTTGACATGACATGATAAACTAAAGATTAAAAAAAAAACTCAAAATGCTTTAACAATTTAAAGCTACAGAGTTGAAGTCTATGAAAAGGTTCCTCCTATCTCTGCATACTACATTCTACGTGTAACTATGAGAAGTGAATTACTACATGTCTTTAGCCCAAAGTTGATAAGATTTTCGTAAAGACTAAAATCAACCCCGGCCCTATAGATCTGTGGTCAATTTAAAGCGAGGTGATCCTTTGTTGATATTTTAGATTGCACATATTCAGAGGTTATTGTGAGATGTACAATAAGAATAGTAAAACTGAAAGGAGGACATGAGCAATAGCGAACTGTCCGGCGGAATTCGCGTATAGACTGACAGTTCTTCCGTTGATGGCAAGCGGTGGGCGGAAGTTGTCGACCATTGGTTTAGTGGAACCAGAATCTTCATACAGGGTACGGAAGGTAGCCAGCTACAAAGAAGAATGCACATTAAGTAAAACATATCTCATGATTTAATGTAAACAACCGTTGTGACGATTAAATCAAGGTCCAATGACCAGTCCCGATTTAAAATTTCGACAGAGTACAGTGAAGCCATCGATATGTATGGATACTAAATACTAATTAAGTCGGTTTGTTAGGATTTTCCCATCCAAAGCAAGTTAACTAGAAAAAAACGACAGTGTGACCACATTTTAGTTTTTGCAGCTCGAAAAATTGATATGTAACTGTTGTGACCAGTCCTAAATTAAATATAAACCAAAGGAATGAGACAAAACACACGCACTTGTTTCTGTAGAAATAGCTATTCTTTACTCCATAGTATTATAGTAAAAAAAAATATTACAGTCACCATTGCTTGTGTCCCTACAAATATTACATATTATAAGATATGGTGAGAGCTTACATAAAATGTGGAATTTAAATTATTCTACTTTTTTCTGGAGATGGAATCTAAAGGGCATTTAAGGTGACAGTCTTGGTGAATGGTAGTTCAAAGAATACACTAACTAAGCATATTAGAAATGACATGATAAACTAAAGATAAAACCGATGTAGAAAAAAAAAACAGAGTTAAACAACATGAAAACCAATGAAGCAAAGACCCCCCTCCCCCTAAAAAAAAGATACTGGACATGAAATAATTTTGAGTTAATCATTCAGTATTTGCATTATGTTTACCTGTGTTTCTGACATGGATAAAGCGTCTGCAAATACTGTCCACGTGACACTTTCGTCACAGGTGGGCGTGGTTAAACTGCCTTTGTAACGATAGAACTTGGACATACTGGCAGTCATGACGTCTTTCAGTTTGAGACCAGCGATTGATTGCTCTGCATCTTAAAAAAAAATTTCTATATCGGCAAAAGAGGATATAAATATCCTGTTTTGATACTAAGAATGACATCTCGTTAATTCATTTTTACCTTTTGTTGTGATACTGCTGAGGCCATTAACTATTGGAGCAAAGTTTGCGTTATCAGAAGTACCAACCTATAAGAGTATTAATGATAGATATGAAAAAACAAAGTATCTGCAATTCAATCCCACATTTCATTTTCATTTTTTTTTTGTTCTAAAACGGTAACCGTTTGAATATTGACTGGTATTCACAAGCTGGTCAAGCATGTCTTTAGAAACGTGTCAGGCTAATTATGTCGCTTTCATATTAGCCATTCTTCACTATAACACTTTTTGGGGGATTGTTTGAAATAAGCCTATGATACAGTTCAAAATTAGCTAACGATACCCTTAATCAAACACGTCATACCCCACTTTCATCATGGAGAGGCAGGAAGTTTAGTTAATGCTTTAAAGGTAGAACAATGTTGAGTTTTCAATGAAGAAAGAGTCATAGTTTACGTTGGCACGAATGAGACAAAGTGGTGATTTTTTTTTTTTGTTGATATAAGGAATAACTGTTTTAGGCGATTATGAGGTGATAACCAAACTATCAGCACGTGATAATTGGCAAAATTGTGGTTAAACTATACTGCGAGACATCTCCTGTAGCTATAGCTATATAGTATGTATTTGATAGGTCAGATGGTACTCTTTCACAATATAACATCTCCTTAACACACTGATGAACTTGGAATATTCTAGGAGATTTTTCACGGAGTGGACAATAAACAAAACGTATGTTATGAAAACATAAGTTAAACTGAAATAAATATCGCAGTTGTCATAAATTTACAAACTTATTTTTAAAGAATCAACCGATTATACTTAAAGTGCGGTGGGTAAATTTGTAGAAATACCTGTATAAAAAATCCCAGCACCGCTAGACCGTCAGACTGAGACACCGCTGCACTGAGATTGCCATAGGACGAATTGTACGTCACTATGTGAAGCTGAAATTCCAGATAGGATAAGAAACAGATATTAAAGCTTTTCAATTAAAAAGATTGTTATCTAAGACAAATTACAGTCTCGAATTAAAAAAGAAAAACTGCTTTCTTACCAGTATCTGAGTGGCCCTTTTGATAAATTATAGAATTTAATATTCCTACTTAAGAAATAAATTTATAGAATTAATTTCCTGCTCAAGTTTGAAATCTACCTACACTTTTATTATCTACTGCAAGTCCTTTCATTATCCACACGTATTCATTAAATTAGCCTTTATTATCAATTGTGAAAAAAGCAATTAATGAATCATCAATTTTTATGTAAGAAATAATGCCAGTAATTTAAATCTGATGTTTTTTAACTGAATTTGTTCAAGCTCTGTTTGTGAAATAAGTGACATAGGTCTACAGTGCATTGCCTTTACTCGTAAGTACTTTTAAGTCTTGACTCTGAATACAGTAAAACTAGGTTATAAAGAACTCGATTATAAGGAAATCTCGTTTATAAAGAACCTTTTAAAAATTCCCGTATAAGACTTCTCACTTTAGTTCTAATACGAATACAAAGAATCTCGGTTCAAAGGAAAAAAAATCGAGGCGACATTCCTTATAGTCTTACTGTATCTCAACGACTTACACTTAGCTTAGATCTTATCATTGCTTCCTCTTGTATATTTATATAATGATAAGTGTTACTGTCTAATAGAATTTTTTTTTAAATTTGTTCTCAATCACATCTTTACGAAAGCCGGATAGGCTCATTTTAACAAGATAAAAAAAATTAACTCGTTATAACGAGATAGTTATCTCGTTATAACGAGTTAGTATCTCGTTATAACGAGTTAGTATCTCGTTATAACGAGATAATTATCTCGTTATAACGAGTTAGTTATCTCGTTATAACGAGTTAGTTATCTCGCTATAACGAGTTAGTATCTCGTTATAACGAATTAGTTATCTCGTTATAACGAGTTAGCTATCTCGTTATAACGAGTTATTTATCTCGTTATAACGAGATAATTATCTCGTTATAACGAGATAGCTAACTCGTTATAACGAGTTAGTATCTCGTTATAACGAGATAATTATCTCGTTATAACGAGATAATTATCTCGTTATAACGAGATAATTATCTCGTTATAACGAGATAATTATCTCGTTATAACGAGTTAGTTATCTCGTTATAACGAGATAGTTTTCTCTTTATTTTGAGATTTAATAGCAATATAGGAATAAAAATAGCTGTATAGTTTTAATGCCATTGAATTTTTAGCTAGTAATTATCAGTCAAATTTAACTTGAACAATTGATTAATGGTTGAAAATTTAATTTGCTCTGGGGTTTACTTATGATTAAATCTTGAACTATCTCGCTGTCAATAATCATATTTTGATAAGTATAGCAACTCTAAGGCGAACACATTTACACATTAATTCGTGAACGCCTCCTCAAATTGACGCGATATTTTTCTTTAAAAAATATTGCCAAATATACTTGCTTTAAACTTTGGCAATTTATTTATGACAACCATTTCTGATGAATGACACTGTGGGGATTCACATAGACCTATTTGAGATTCACGTCTGTTTGGTGGATCTTATGTTTACCACATGGTGACAAAACATCAAACCAGAGTGTACAAAACAAAAAAAAGGTTTACAGAGTTTACAAAGCCAGTTCAGTTTTTTTTACTTAGGATTGATCAACGAATAGGGCTAATACTACAGGTATATTATTAATACAACATTGAAGCAATATCATTAATTATTTTCCTCATCACAATATTTGTTATGTATACTTTGCAAGCATATAATTTTAAATTCAAAAAGAGATTGATGATTTTTTTGGGGGGGAGGGAGGTTAATAAATGGGGGATATTCAATGTTTTGTAGCTGATATGGAATTCATTTCACGAGTGGGACAGGATTTTTTTTATATTTTCATGAGTGCGAAGCACGAGTGAAAATATCAAAAATCCTGTCTCACTATACAATACATATTTTTAGGCATAATTTATGCTGGAAATACACCTTAATTAATGCATATCATATTGTAAACTTTAGATATTAAACTTTCATTCTATACCCAAATAGGATCACAAAAATGTCAACTGTTTTTACTATTGTCAAAGTGAGGCATGTGAATTTCCTACATGCACTACATTTCAGCCTGCTGACCTTCACCTTTTTATTGTGGCTTCCGTAGAATAAAGAACCCCAAAAGTTTTTTATTCTACCACATTGATAATAACGCAAAAATACATATTGTACATGAGATTTCATGCCATATTGGTAAATTAAAATGTTTCTTTCTTTTAATAAACAAAAGAAATATATAAATTATTAAGTGATAAGTACAGTATTGTTCTTGAAATTCATCATATTTATTATTGAGGGGAAGGAGGGATTGGTGATAAAAACAACGTGAATTTAGTTTTTTTGTCAGACATTGAATTTTGATCTTGCCCCTTTAAGACGATAAAATTGAACTGGTATTCCTTGTTAACAGACAAGAAATTATCAAAATATGGACGTTAAAGCCTAACAAATGGTATCATATCGACATTATTAATTCGGAATATATGAAATAATGGGATTATTTCTATGCATTTTTTATTGCGACAAATATTACGCAAAAATTATCATAATTTTAACAAAGTCAAGAAAGCTTGATCAGGGCAGTTAATCAGCCAGAGTATATATATATTTTTTCTGATCTCCTTGTACAAGTTGACAAAATTTTGACGTTATATACATTCCATCTGAAGATGACACTAATTCTATTTTGCAATTTTAAGGTATAACACAACACATGAGGCGGTCATAAGTTTCCGTATATTTGTCTTCGGTCTTTTCAATAAACAACACTAATCAAAGGCATAACACAAAAAACTAGTATGCTGTTGTTCCATTAAATCTTTATCACGCATACTTCAAACAAATTTGATCTACTCGCTTCTGTATATTTCCTATAAATAATGGTCTATTCTTTACTTAGATATATCAACTCTTTAGATCAATTTTTGTCTCGTTATAACGAGAAAATTATCTCGTTATAACGAGATACTAACTCGTTATAACGAGATAACTAACTCGTTATAACGGGATAATTATCTCGTTATAACGAGATACTAACTCGTTATAACGAGATAACTTACTCGTTATAACGAGATAACAACTCGTTATAACGAGATAACTAACTCGTTATAACGAGATACTAACTCGTTATAACGAGATACTAACTCGTTATAACGAGATAACTAACTTGTTATAACAAGATAATCATCTCGTTATTACGAGATAACTAACTCGTTATAACGAGAAACTAACTCATTATAACGAGATACTAACTCGTTATAACGAGATACTAACTCGTTATAACGAGATACTAACTCGTTATTACGAGATAATTATCTCGTTATAACGAGTTAAATATTTTTTTTGTCTTGTCAAAAATGAGCCTATCCGGCTTTCGTACATCTTTATAAAGCAAGAGACAATTTTCGTATGTATACTGAAAATTACACAATGTAAATAAATCGCGTTTCAAAGATATTAAAAAATTCAAACAATAACCGATTTTTTTTTTTTTTTTTAACAGACTCACAAAAATAATAAAGATTTGAATAACTCCGCCTTAATTGATCGCGTGACACTATATTTAGACATAATGGCGAACAATGAGAAGGATGGGTAATTCAGCGAACATATTTAGCAGTTTAACAGATTCAGAGAGAAAAGTGAGGAAGAGATAGGTAGATATGAAGAGAAATAAGGAGAAAATTATTAACAATATCATGTATATTTATTGAATTGAAAGTGAATTAAAAGTTTAAATTATCAGTTGACTGCCGGTTTGATCTTTCTGATAAAGTTGTACCAGTTGTATTGTATGGCTCCGAAGTATAAGGCTATGAAAATCTTGATGTTATTGAACTTTTACATCTGAATTTTTTAAAGCATGTATTTAATTTAAAAAGCTCCAGGCCAGTGTACATGGTCTTTGGTGAAACATTTGTTTTCCTTTATATATCTCAGTATACTGTAGAATGATCTCATACTGGACAAAACTTTTTTCGGGCCCGATAAAATTGTAAATGTATTATACAAATATAATACGTTAAAACTTTATTGTAATGGAAATTTGACAAACCCTTGGTTAAGCTGCAAACAGAAAATCTGTAATGTGTGGTTAATCAAATGCATGGTACCAACAGGCTGTCAATATTAATTATAAATGGATAAGTGCTACTGTACGCCATAAAAAGCTTCAACTGAAACATATAACAAGATTCAGACATAGAATTTAGACTGATATAAGAATATATTTATAAATATAATTTATAATATGTAATATAAAAATGAAAAACAATTATGAATTCCTTGAACGTTTCAGTGTTCATTAATATACATTGACTTTCTTATCAGAACATTATATATTAGGTATTCTAATGAATTTTCAGAAATCATCGATGAAAATTTCAAAACACCAATTCAGCGGCTACAAATATGATGTTCATAAACAAGAATGACCCTGGATTTTGCGGAATCAGGATTTGTTTATTTATCAGTTCAATACAACTGAACAATTGATAAGTACATATAATTCCTTTAATGAATAATTCACAAATACGAGGGTTGTCCGGTAAAATCGTGGACAAGTAGTCTAGAGTGAAAAATAACACTTCTTTCTAAAATTTTCCCTACTCCTAAGTACATTTTTCATCAATATACATATAGCACATTTCAAAGAGTTATATGCTCAAATTAACAAAATATGGGATTTAATGTTTTGTGTGGTATCACCTTACGGCGCACGGATGATAATCAAAATGTCAAAAGCAATATCACGTTTCTTCTTTGCTTTAAAAAAGTTGGATAAGCCCCACTTAAATTTCGGGAATTTTACTGACGCACACATTCGAGTTTGTATCGAGTCTGTATTTTTTACCCACCTCCAAACTCTTTCTAGTCCTCTCTACAGACCAATAAACTCGCTTGTTGTGAATTTGTTGTCGGATGGCATAAAATTCACACTAAGCGAGTTTATTGGTCTGTAGAAACGACTAGAAACTTCAAAAGGGCAAGGAGATGGATAAAATATACAGATTGGTTGTAGAATATGTCTAGAATCAGGGAATGAAAGTTAGTTAATTGAACATTGCTGGAAAGTGACGAAATACATCTCCAAGGTGCGCAGAAAATCTTGCGTCGTAAATTGCACCATTTTTGCATTAAGGGATCTGTAGCGTTATGATCAAAGACTAAAATATAACCATAACGCTACAGTTCTGCAGCTTACATTTAAGTATAATAAAACCCTTAATTGTGCCTATAATTTATTAGAAGTATTAAGATGTACTTAAATATGATTAATAAACATTTCCTGAAAATTTCAGCTCAATGCGTGCATTTTTTCTGATAAAAACGCAATGTCCACGATTTTACAGGACAACCCTCGTAATAATAATAAAAAATATCCGATGCTTGCCTCCATAGGATACTGGGCGCCATTGAGTGTGTGTTCGGAGCCTCTACTGGAGTCGTTACCCCAGTGAAAATGAAACTGAGCCACCTTAAATATCCCTCCGAGTCCCCCTCCCGTCACTGTTATAGTCTCAGTGAAGGTCACCTTTGCTAAACAAATGAGAAATCTAGTCACCAATCAGTCTTATTAATAAGATCTATAATGTATTATGGTAATTATCCAAGTAAATGCCAACAGTTTTTCTTCATTTGAAATAAAATCATTATTCTTATTTCAAGAATTGGCGAAAATTCAAACCAATGTAAAATTATTTTAACGGCTGAAAAATTTCGAAAATATTTCAACATTTAATATACTATTACGAGGGGGGATCAAAAAGTTCGCGAACTATCTCTGTATCTACATAACCACAATTCACATTAGAATGAAACAATAAAATTATTCTTAATCCCCTAAAATTTCAGTTACTTAAAGATTTTAACAGATCAGATATCATATAGAGAAAACAGACATATTTGATCCACAATGGACACATGACGCACCCGAGACGACGGACTCGGGTTGTCATTGACACCATGCTCACAATAGCAAAAGAAATCCTAATCCAACCATTCTATAGAAGATATGGGACATTTTGTGATGAATTGGTTATTCCTATGATAAAAAATAAGATAAACTATGTGGGAAGAGATATAGAGCCCGGGAAAATCTTTGGACTCATTTGAACGCAATTGAGCATGTCACGTGACCACCTGGCCCACCTGCTTCGTGCGTGGGCAGAGCATAATAGCAGGAGGGGTCTACTTTTCAAAAAACCGATTTGGTTTCTTTTATGAAAGTTATTCAATTAGTTCGCGGACTTTTTGATCATCCTTCGTATATATATACAAAATAAAATTTACTTTTTTGATTTTTTAAAAACTTAAAATTATAGTAAAATTTGGATTTAAATTTAAAAATATATTACCCGAGTGTCCATTGTTACTGAGTGTAGCAGTCAATGTTACATCTTCATCTGTCAGTGAAAAACCCTCGAACGTGGCAGGGGTCATGGAGGATTCCGTCAGGGCAATGGGGGACTGACTCGTCCCCCCACAATTACTGTAGGTAGAGGACCAGGTACTTGGATCACTGTAGTCCCAGGCTAAACAGAAGGATGTGATATAAGGAAATATAATGTACACCTGGAGAGCGAAATCCATTTCTCTGTTAATGTCGATAATTGGACTCTGAGATGCTAAAATTTTCTGGGTGGCGAGGTAAGCAGTGAAGGTATTTATACGGAAAAAAGTATCCAATGATCAGTCGCCTTAGATAATTTGTCTGTGAATTGATTTGTAAGCGGTAAAACATAAGCTTTGCGTGTGGGTATATATCGTTGACAATCCCATAAAATGTTTTAATTTAATTTCTGCGAAGAAATTGCTGATGGCAATCTTTCTAGTAGATGTTTTAAACAGAGGACCAGAAATGTCGGACTATAACGGTACATTAACTTCATGTTAAAACCATTGGAATTGCAGAGATAGTTAGGCAAATGTTCGCTTCTCAAACATTCTAATTATATATAAGTAAAATCGAAAACATTAATTTTTTCATTTGCATTTTTGTTATATTTTATATGAAGAATTGAAAATGTTTGTTTAAATGACAGACTACATACAAAACAGTAGTAAAAATGATGCAAGGATTTTAAAATGAGCATATATTATCATAAACAGAGAGAAAACGGAATATATCAAAGAATTCATGTCATTGAAGAAAAAAACTAATACAGAGGGAAAATGGTTCAGATTAGATGGTTTTAATCAAAGCACTGCCCTATATGTACAGAAGGACAGGGATCCATTTACTTCCTTTCATACCGGTATCTATATCCTTTAAATTGTCAATTTACAATCAATTTTCAGATAAGATTTTTATAAAATGTTTGTTTTAAACTTTTACGCTTTTATACTGGAATTCATACTAAAGGACTCACAGAGAGATAATTTGTGAAAAAGGTCGAAAAGGTCCAGGAATTAAAGTTGGGGTGGGGTTGGATCCTGATAGGCAAGCTTCTCCCTCGTAAACACGTACATATCCAGTAATGCAGATAAATATTTAATGTTCCGGGATGCTGATTTGTCACTATCACGCATGCAAATTAGCATATAAAGGTATACTTTTTATAACATAATAATTTTAAGTAAGTGACAATAAAAAGAATATCAAAGTTTTAAAAATTTCACACAAAGGCTTTCCGGACATATTCCCCCTTGTACTGATGTTACTGTAAGTATAGATTACATAAAAGACATAGGTATTTAAACCTGTTTGATGCCTATACAAATGCATGTTCTTGTATATTAATTAAAGGTCAAATTCGAAGGATTTAAGATGGTATGTTCGTATCATTTTACGTCTAGTACCCTTTTCTTAATTTGTTTCCGGAAAAATGCATTTAAATTTTTATGATTTAACATTTATTATTATGAAAAAGTAATTTCTTTTCAAGGTTGCACATTTCTTGAAAACATACATTTTCTTTAAAATTGGAAATCAATATGTTGTATTATTTGAATGACTGATATATAAGTAAAATCAAATCGAAAGAAAATATGGGAAGGTTTTTGAAAACCTTTAGTTCAGAGTAAACTCTTTTTTTAATTTTTATTTTTAATTTTTTTTTTTTTTTTTTTTTTTTTGATTACAAATAATTTTGCATCCATTTTAAATTACTGGAAAAGCCTTTAGATTAATTGTCGCTCCAGGACCCACACATTTTATTAAATTATAAAATACTATATTTTAAACATAGTTGTGAAAATAAAAACTCGGTGAGATGGCAATTTTATGAATTTGTATATAGGTCTACATATATAAATAGAAACATTCTAGGAATAAGAATTCAGCAGGATGGTAGTTGGAGATCCCACATACTTGATATTTATGCAAAAGTCTGTAATCAATTAAATATCTTAAGAATGTTAAAGCACACCCTTAAGAGGGAAGCTTTGATAAAAATATTTTTGGCTTTCATTCGTCCTGTTCTTGAATAATCAGATATTGTATGGGATAATTGCATTGATAGAAATGCAAAATTACTTAAAGAGGTTCAATTTACAGCTGCACGAATAATAACAGACTTTAAGGAATAATTCATCAAGATCAAATCTATATGGAGATCTTGGCTGGGATACACTTGAAATAAGAAGAAAAATGCATAAACTAGTGTTATTTTATAAAATAGTGTATGGATTAGCTCCCTAGTATTTGCAAGATTTATTACAACAATGCTTTTTACCACATACATGTAATTCTTATCTCTTAAGGAATCAGGACAATCTTACATTTCATATTCCACAAGCCAAAACGACTTCATTTATGAAAAGTTTCTTTCCTTCAACTATAAGACCCCTTTAATACTCGAAATCTTCCTACACTTTCATCATCCAAGACTGCCATAGAGAATATATACTGCTTAAAACCTAAGAAATATTACAACTATGGAAGTCGGAAAGCGAATATATTGCATTGCTAATGGTAAAATAATTCTAGTAATTTAAATGCTGATTTATTTATACATTTTTTTAAGGGAAGATCAAAGTTGTGGTATGTGCGGATATAATTCAGAAACATCATTTCACTTTTTTTATGAAATGTCCAAAATAGTGTGTGCAAAGGCAGAACCTTACGCAAAACTTTAATACTTTGCAATTACCAATGCCTTTATCCTTACAACTTATTTTGAATGGGGACAATAATCTTACAACAAAATGTTGCAGCATTTAAACTTTTTAATGAATTTACTACAAATACAAAGAGATTTGCATGATATTTTTTCTCTTCTTTTTTTTTAAATTGTCAAACCACAGAACCAACATCTATTTATGTGTTCTTATTAACTTTCACATTTATACCTGTATCATTTTTTTTCAGTCATGTATGTTAAACTGCAAACATAAATTGCATCATCAGCTCATTCATAATTAATTTTTAACTTCAATATTATGTAACTAATATTTAATTGTACACTAGATGAAATCCCGCGCGCAAGCGCGGGAAATTGAATTTATACCACTACCGACAGAAAAATTCCAACAATATATATTGTAGTTTCTACTGACAGCCTACAGACTTATAGGAAGAAGAAATACTTTGTTCAAAATCTTGGATTTATTTTTGGAGCAGAATAAATGTACGTCTCCCTCCCCCTTTGTAAAAACTTGAAAAATAACCACATTTACCCTTTAATGTCCTATGAATAAGCGAGTATTTGATACAAAAGACTGTATTCAGGAAAAGAAAATGAAATATATTGATTAAAGCCCAAACTTTTAACAGCTTTAATTGTATTTGAACAATACCTTATTCATTAATTTTCTCTTTTCATGTAAGCAAGTTTATTACGAAGTACAAATTGTACTTCGGGTTCGTTGCCACGATGCTCTTAGCGAGGAATATACAAATTTTACCGATAAATTAATTAGGAAAACCTACTAATAGTCTTTTGATATATAAATATATTCACAACTTAATTATAGTGTTATTAATGATTTACCATTATTTCAATGACCATTCACACAAAAGCTTTTTTTTTATGTTCATGCAGCTATAATCGCCTCGTTTTTCTTTTTAACATCGGGCTCGATGCTATATGATGATCTAGAAGTCTCCGTCAATATTAAGATCGGTGAATGACGAAAATAATTTGCACATTTCCCTTTTTAATCGGTTGTCACAACTTATTTCTTTTATATAATTTAAATCAAGTTTTGATTGAATAATTCAGTGATGACGTTTTATGAAATAAATAAACGATTGCTTGTTTTCAGTTTCATTAAAAATTGCCAGTAACTTAGATCCGCCAGTCGGAACCGCCACCGTACTCACGTATTTGCTATTTCATGGCTGTTTATAGAAAATGAAAGTAGACTTTTAATTTAATGTACGATACTTATTATGCAAGTGAAATCTAAATATAATCTTATATCAAATGCATTGATAAAGGAGTTAATAAAAACTCTGGTGCACCCATTTCGGTGTTTATTTGCAAAATTTATTAATTTATAAGTATAGATGTATGACTTTGACCTTGTACTATGGAGAGGACTTATAGTTATATTATAGGCAGTGTCTGGAGAGGATTATATAGGCAGTGCCTGGGGAGGACTTATATAGACAGTGTCTGGAGAGGACTTATATAGGAAGTGCCTGGAGAGGACCTACATAAGAAGTGCCTGGAGAGGACTTGCAATGTATATAGGCAGTGCCTGCTGTCCTATCCTTTTGTGATTATTCATAATAAAATATTGTTTAAATTGATTAGAAACATTCTGTCTTTATAATGGGATAACATGAATAATAATTTAACATGTGTTGTCTCAAGGTTACGAATGAAAATGGCTGATATGAAAACTGATATCACTGGTTGCTACAAAATAAAAAGATCAGACAAATTGGGTGCAACAAAATTTCCGGAATCTATTGGATTCCATTCAATGTCTTTTTAAAAATTCAAGTGTAGCAAATTAAACTTCAAACGTCAACAGTATTCTAAACCTGTTAACTGCTAAAACTTCCAAGTCGTGCCAAAAAGCTGATTCTCAAGACTCATATTGTGTAGTAATTACATATTGATATTATATTGAACAAAAAGTCTTAAACCTTTAAGACAAGATAAAGTTATTCCAAGTTTGGGCCCATAGGGCATAACATAAAAGACAGTTTATAGAAAGTTGTTCAAAAGGTATATGAACGTGTACTCACATTTACATACTCTATAGAAATACACGTACAAATACATATTTATTTATTTATTTATTCATTTGTTTTTATTTATTTATTTATTTTGCAAAAGTTTTAATTTTTCTGAGCGATAGTTTTCTCTGTCTTACCATGATAATTATCAACTACGGTATGCAAAATATTATCCTATTCAAAGTCCACACAAAATAAGTATCCTATATCCAGTCGTTCAAACAGATAATATCCTATCCAGCTGTCCAAACAGATACCTTTCCCAGTGACTCTAACAGATACAATATCCTTTAGTCCAAACAGATATACATGTATTATCCTATCCAGTAGGCAAAACAGGTAAATGTATGCAATATTCTTTTTGACAGTCCGGACAGATGCAATATCCTATCCAGTGACGAAAACAGATACAGTATCTCATTAAGCAGTACAAACAGCTACAATATCTATCCAATGGTAC